ATCACCTCCTTGCGCACACACACACTTCCCTCTCCTCACCACTCACACCTCTCCCTCTCTCACCAAGGGCCCAATCTTCTACTCACAGCACTCAGTCACGCCCCCTACTGTATCTCCCTCCCCTCCTCCTCCACTCACCCTTATCTTAGGACACAGCAAAAGTTCCCTCCCCCCAGACACACACACAAGTTCCCTCCCCCAGACACACACACAAGTTTCCCTCCCCCCAGACACACACACACATTAGGTGTACATATATTAGGTTTACACATACAATAAATAACAATCCTCATATGGCAATGGATAAGTACACCAGTGGGGCTTTTAGTACAACACGGATTGTACATCATTTGGGGTGACGTGTACAGTACAACAATTACGTGGCTGTATATAAGTACACTGTATAGTTACTTAAAGAGCTTCATTATCTGTTTTTGTTTTAAACCTAACCTAATCTACCCTAACCTAACCTAACCTATCCTACCCTAACCTATTATAAACTAACCTATCATACCCTAACCTATCCTAACCTATTATAACCTAACCTAACCCCCAAGTAGCGTTAGGGTATCTGATCGTCAGGTGCTCCTCAAAACATTCGGGATTGCACTGTTTATATCTGGTAAATTATAGCTACACAGACTATTTCAATTTACTCCAATTGTACACTTCATTCATTTTCTCTCTCTCTCTCTTTTCCATCCCTTTATTCCTATACCTCCCTCCTCCTTCCCATTCTTTCCTTCTTTCATTCCAAGTTCTGCCTCTCTCTTCTCTCTTGCTTCTCCCTCTCCCTTCTTCACCCCTCCATCTTTCCTTCCTTGCTTCACCCCCCCAGTACCTCCGCTCCTTCCAACTCCCCATTATCTTGGGCCAGCCCACCACGTCCTCCCACCCCCGCCCCCTCTCTCCCTCAGTGCTTATCCCCGTCCATCCCTCCTCCTCCCCCAGGCCTTGTCCTCTACCCCAGAGCACCTCCCCCAGAACCCTCCCTCCCCAGCCCATCCAGCAGCCCGAGGGAAGCAATGACAGTCAGTAACAGAGAGGCAGTGACGCCCCAGAAGGGACGCCGAGTGGAGGCGGTGGTGAGTACATACTGCCCTCGTCTCTTTGTTCCCCGACCCTCCCTCTGTGTACCGCGTCTACAGCAAGTGAATATCCCCGTAACCTCGTGTTCACTGTTTATTGTTGTTTACTCTACATATTATCATCAACTTACGTACATAATGTGGTGTATTAAGGACCTCGCAGCCTTGTGTTTGTACTTATCCCTCCAAGGAATGTACGGTGTCAACGGTTTGTATACTGTAGGTTCCTGGAGTGTACTGTACATTACTTGTCTGTGTCATATACCACCTCAAATGATGTACACTACACATGGTAAAACTTTATCACTGTATTACGATATCGTTGTTTGTGGACTGAAAAGTTCGGACGTCAAATTCCTCCCCAAACTGGTGATGTGAGAACGTGTACAACTGACTCGCTTAAGAGGACAGTTGAAAAAGTTCATTATTGACATGACACTGATTATTAGGCCCAAAGACACACGATAAACACACACATATACACACAAACACACACATACAGTAGGTATTAGGCAGCTACCAAACAGGGAGGTACTACCGCCTGGGAAGATATTGGAAGCATAATGTGTTGTCTATGGTAGATCTTCCTGCCACATGGCATTACGAAAATTGTGACCAAGTCCCAGGTTGCTGATCTGACTTTCTGCCTCATTTACACACAATTGCAGGGTCTCAATTGTTTCTCTTACTATTGATAACACAACATACAAATATTGTTTCTCACTTTTGATTTTTTTTCATTTTGTATTTCTTTGTGGTTTATTATTATTATTATTATTATTATTATTATTATTATTATTATTATTATTATTATTATTATTATTATTATTATATTTTCGCCTCCCCCCAGGCCCCGATGTGGGTCAGTGACCTGTGCCTGGGTGGGCTAATTCCCGTAAAAAAAAAACACATATACACACAAACACACACATATACACAAGGTAGAAAACAATTATCGTGGTGGTAATTTTGAACAATTAAACTGTCTTATTCAGCTCTTTGGCGCGAAAATAGATTCCCTTAATTACTCCCGAAGCTGCAGACGCGAGAGAGCTAATGGTTGACCCTTATATACTTCAGTGGTGGTGATAATTATGGTGGTAATGGTGTTGGAGGTGGTGGTGGTGGTAGTGATTATGGTGGTACTGGTAATAATGATGATGGTGGTAGTAATAATGGCAATAATGGTAGTGATAAAGGGAGTGGTTGTGATAATGTTGTTAATAATAATAATAATAATAAAGGTGGTGGTAATAATGTTGTTTGTGGTAGTGAAGATAATGGGAGTGATGGTGCCAGTGATGAAGGTGGCACTGCTGGTTATAGTAACAGGGAAATTGGTGATAATGGCGCTAGTAATAACAGTGATAAACATTATTAACACCAATAGTGCCTCTGGTGGTGATAGTAACAGTGATACTGGTGTTGGTGGTGGTAATGTAGGTGATGGTGGTAGTGGCAATGGTGGTGGTAGGTGGTGGTAGTGGTATGATTGTGGTAATAGTGGTGGTGGCGTATAGTGAGTCGTTTGTTTGAGTGGGCAAGGTGATAGTCGTGTTACAAGGTCCTGCTAACATTCTAGATCAGGTTCAATGTGAATGTTTCAAGTCCCTCAAGGTCAAGTCCGGTATCTATGCTACAGTACACTCCTACAGTCTATATTTTCATTTTTACATTCGTTAATAACAAAAATCTAAGTGAAAACATTACATTTGTTAACAATAAAACTATAAAACTCAAAACAGTTTATAAAATAATACCTTTTTTTGGTGTGATGTAAAAATTATTTGATGAGAAACACGAAATTTGTCTCAGGTAATACAGTCCACGTAAAGATTCTTCTATCACAAAATGGTAATAACAGCGCCTCTTGTTTATATGTTTTGATAACTGTTACTTAGTTATAAAGGGATTGGGTAAAACACACTATGAATCTATTATTTAGGTAACATGCTATTTTAACCTTGTACGTAGTGTGTGTGTGTGTGTGTGTGTGTGTGTGTGTGTGTGTAGAAAAATTGTATTGTACTGTACTGTATTGTACAATAGATAGGAGGACATAGTTATAGCAGATAAATTGTACTATACATCAACTGAGGTGACAAGAACAGTGTAGTACAACAGGCAGTAAGTACAGGTGAAACGTACAGTAAAATACAACAATCAGTAAACACGACGTAGCAGATAAATACTCTAGTAGGACTCACAGACTACACAGAGAATGCAAACAGTCACCTGGAAACCTTACCACAACTCCTAGCTTATTGTAAATGTGTAAGAACAACTTGCCGGAGCAGGTGATCGGGTTACTAAACTTGTTGACATTCGAGAGCCTACTGGACAAGCACCGGATGTCATGAACGATCACAGAGCTGAATGTACCCAGTCGAGCCATCAGCCCAACCGATATATAAATCATACACATGGTTTACGTTGTAGACACAGACATAGAATATTAATTATTTTAAGGAAGTAAGAAATATATATATAATAAATTGTAGATCGAATACAAAAAAAATACAAATCAAGAAGGCAAAGAGGTGGACAATGTTGCAAGGACAGAAGGTGCTGGTGGGAATCAGGTTTATACCCGTGTTACAGACAGTACTCGTATAACAACCGTGTGAAGACGTCGCGAGTTTTCAGGTTGTTCATGGCATTCAAAAAAACTGGACTACATATCCCTATTGTATATCGTGTGACTGTACTGTAAGCTAAGAACACCACAATAAGAAAAGAGACAGGCATATTGAGTTGTGTTGTAAACAGACCCACAAAGAGCTGAACACGCAGTGGGTTTCCTAAAGTACTCTTCTGCAGCCTACGTGATTCTTGGTTGATGTGATGTGCTTTAACTGATGTATTCGTCACCTCAGCTGTTATACTTTGGGCCTCCCTATAAGCATGCAGCTTTAAGTTCGTGCTCACTACCCGAATACCATAAAACTGTAGTCATATTCTGTAGCGATTCCAGATCCCTTTTCCCTCCTGCTCCTCACATTTTCCTGATCGGATTGAGATTGGAATTTCGGTCATTTTTCTCCCATTTAAAACAGCGCCCCCTTTTAAATGAAGTGGATCCGCCTCCTGATATTAGCTATATCCTAATGTATGAAAATATTATTGTGCTTGTATCTGTCAAAGACAATAGTTCAAACGATTTATCTTAGGCATCATCATGACATCATTCTTCCTCCTACTTCCCACACATCCCTTTTCCTCCACCTCCCCCATCTCCTACTTCCCACACATCCCTTTTCCTCCACCTCCCCCATCTCCTACTTCCCACACATCCCTTTTCCTCCACCTCCCCCATCTCCTACTTCGTTCTACACGGAGCTCTAACTTCCCCCCCTCTCTTTCTCCCATCACAGCTAAGAATCGACGTTTACTATCGACGTCACGATGAGAGGTGATGGTGGAGGGAAAGTGTTGGCGGTGTTGGCGGTGTTGTGTGCAGCTGCCGCCTGGGACCTGGCGGAGGAGGAGACGATGGGACAACCACAACTGGGTCAGTAGTTTCTCTGTGTTTCTGCTATTGGTGGGGAGAATAGGGAAGTAGTTAACGGGGAAAGTGAAACAAATATAGAGGAAATAAAACATACAGCCCCCCCTGCTGAAACAAAGGATAGTGGGTCGTATATGGGACAGTTAACAAGAATTAAAAGAAGTGGTTCGGGTAAAGAGAGTCTTATCCTGATTGAACTGCTTCAGTCAAAAACTTTCTTTTTAAATACAATGGTGAGTGTTATAGAAATGTATGTTCTTTCAAGATTCTGGCCAGGTCTAATGAAAAAATTACTGTACAACGTGTAAAAAAATAAGGGTGTATTTATAAATCCGACACTATTTTGTATGACAGCTGCTAAATAGGTATATGAAAGTGACCCCATTTCGTAGAGTATATCTTGCTTTATATGTAAAATTGTAGAGTAATGGAAAGCTGGAGAAAGTTAAGATTTAATGTCGTACCAGTAAAAATAGTAATTTAACTAATACACCTTAAAAAATAATAACATTATGATGAACGTCTACCCCAAGATACCGACATCGTCCCTCCTACAGTGGCACCAAGAGACTACCTTGAGGGAGAGGTCCTGGAAGATGCTCTAGGCGACTGGCTTACCCAATTCGACACCTACACCTTCATGGTAAAACAAGACGTCGACAGCAGCTTTGACGAAGAGAACACTGCGGGAGACGAGGATATACTCACCGATGAGGAAGGAGCACCCGGCGAGGAGACGTCTACTAACGAGGAAGACGATCATGCCTCCTTCGCCCCAATCTCCGTCCTACTGAGTGAGGATGGTCTTCTCAACCCTCACCTCGACTACAGAGGTGAGCCATGCTAGGTCTGAGAAAGAATAAGCTAATGAACATAAGCAATATTTATAATTTCATTCTAATTCTAAGTCTTTCTATCCTAATATAATATTTAGCTTTCTAAGAAGACTTGATACAGGTATACTACTTCCGGAGTCACCTGTTATATACTGTAGGTGAAACTATTACACGGTTTTAGCTGCAATACAGTAATTCATAAGCTAAACAACACCTAAATACAATATTGCTGTCAGACGTATTATAACTAACCTTAAGCACTTCCGACTTGACCATTATTTAAAAGAGACCCATCTTAACTGCACAGGAACAATTTATTTCATATTAAGAAACAGAATACAAACCTATCTAGGAAAGCACAGTACTGGCGATAAGAGCGGTTTCAGAACTCTTAACTACATGAGGTATATTGGCTGGGTTAGGGTATTGGTTTTCTACAGTTTTATTATTAAATATAAACTTAAAATATACGGTAGGCTTTATGATATTAGTTGCATTGTTTGTATTCATTTGATGACCGAATCTCAAGATGAAATTGTCTGATTAGTTGTTTCTTGGTAAGCAGATGCCAAGTGGGATAGTGACTTGTTACATTCTTCAACTGGTCAACAAAAGTCTTCATGTTGGGAGCTAAAATAAACCTACACTGAACCATTTTGTTTTTATTTTAGCATAAATGAGGCACTGAACATAGCACTGATGTGGATAGCAATTGTCAAATCGGCAACAACGAAACAAAAAAAAAACGTTCATCATAAGGGCAACAAGCAGGGTTTACATAAATGACTTAATTAATGAAAACAAGTCTTTCTCTGTTAGAATTATATCACTGTAAACATTGAGACTATTTTTAGACATTACAAGGTCACACATGAACCTCTGCTGGGCTTGTGTGTCCAGGAAGGGCGACTATCACTGTTTTAATACACTGAACTCAGCCACTGCGCACTTATTTTTAAACATACCCCGCAGGCTGAAACAATAGCCTATGAACTTGAATGACGATTTTACTGATTTATTATCTATATATTTCTCTACTTCTATTTCGGCAACACAAATGAATTTCCTTACAGAATATATACGACTGTACCTCCTCCCGGCCACCCTAATCTTACCGTACTGTGGGCAATTATTTTCACGGCTAAGAAGTGTTACAATATCTTAATAACTTGACACTTTGGCGATGAAGTAATCCGATATGTGTAATTATTGTACTGTATTATAACTCCGAACTGATAATTATAATATGTTACCATTGTATGAAGAGTATCGATATATACTCAAGTGATAAGAAACGGCCCAGTATATAGACGTGGCACTTGTAGGCCTGTTAAATATAGGCCTATAACATGATGATTACAGTATTATGGAACACACACACACACATGCCGTCCTAACAGTGCTAATTAGTATCAAATTATTAGTAAATGAAAGAATAAATACTACTGAAATTGAAGGAAATGCTGTAAATTGATGCTTGGAGCCACTTTGTATTATATTTCAACACCGGGGCCACTTTGTATTATATTTCAACACCGGGGCCACTTTGTAGTATAATTCAACACCGGGGCCACTTTGTAGTATATTTCAACACCGGGGCCACTTTGTAGTATATTTCAACACCGGGGCCACTTTGTAGTATATTTCAACACCGGGGCCACTTTGTAGTATATTTCAACACCGGGGCCACTTTGTAGTACTGTATATTTCAACACTGGGGGCTACTTTATACTAATATTTCAACACTGGAGGCCACTTTGTAATATTTTTCAACACAGGGGCCACTTTATAGTTTATTTCAACACCAGGAGCCACTTTTTCATACATTTCACCACTTGAGGGTTGTATTGTTCAAGGTACTACGAATAATCATTGCTCTTATCCTGATTTAGCGTAAGACTTCACATTAATTCAGCAAGAACATAGTACAAGCATGTGCAGGCAGGTATACAGCAGTAAGGCAAATTCACCTTTTAGTTGGTCTCATGCACATGACTGACTCACGAGTTTTCTGGTATATATTTGCCCTAAAACAAGTGAAATAAAACAAGTAATTTCGAAACAAATGGACTATAGAGGAGCATGATAACAAAGAACTAATAGCATGAGCACTCCATGGAAAATTCTCTTACTCTTTCGGTCGTCCTCAGTCAGCAAATTATTTAATTATGAAAATCATAGTTGTGGTGAAACACCAAGTCTTCCACATGGCTTCTAATAAGTTATAGTTTCGCATTTTTCTTATTATTTGTTGTTTTGTGACTCAGTTTAGAAATACTTATAAATTTATCGTGTATATCTTTTTTATGAAATTTGTTACTATATGAGGACCGGATAAACTTAAAATACTCTTCCCTGCATAGTCTCTCTTCCTCCCTCTCACACCCATCACACACACATACGCATGTACAGTACACTCTCTTCCTCCCTCTCACACCCATCACACACACATACGTATGTACAGTACACTCTCTTCCTCCCTCTCACACCCATCACACACACATACGTATGTACAGTACACTCTCTTCCTCCTCTCACACCCATCACATACATGTACAGTACACTCTCTTCCTCCCTCTCACACCCACACACACATACGTATGTACAGTACACTCTCTTCCTCCCTCTCACACCCATCACACACACATATGCATGTACAGTACACTCTCTTCCTCCCTCTCACACCCATCACACACACATACGTATGTACAGTACACTCTCTTCCTCCCTCTCACACCCATCACACACACATACGCATGTACAGTACACTCTCTTCCTCCCTCTCACACCCATCACACACATACGCATGTACAGTACACTCTCTTCCTCCCTCCCTCCTCTTTCACACACACATAGTCTCTCCTCTATCCCTCACAGTCTTACAGCTTCTCTTGCTCTCTCCCTCACACAATCTCTCTTGCTTTGTCTCAGTCTGTCTTGCTCCCTTCCTCTCACAGTCTTTCTTACTCCCTTCCTCTCCCACTCTGTCTCTTTCTCCTCCCCCTCACACACGCACTTTTCCTCTCTCACACACTCACTGCTCGCACCACTTATCTTATTAACTTCAATCCCCAGTAACAACAGAACAAGCCCTCCTAAATACCACAATAACATCTTACCAGCTGCCCATTACACGTCCCGTCACCCACAGTGCTGGTGGAGTCACTGGTGGCCGAGGAAGGCTTCGTGTTCATCACCCTTGGGAAGTATGCCAACAAGTCGTCATGTGGTGTGGGCGGGTTCTCCAAAAACTCCACTCCAAACGTTACTGAGAGTCGACTGGACATTGAACATCAGCTGGAGGACTTCAACACAACTATCATCGCATTTGCTCTCGAGTCTAAGGTGCAGTATGTACGAGTTAACCTGTACTGCATGATCAGATGGCTCTATGACGTACTAGCTTAGCCCTGCAGTTTTGAATTGAGTTTGAAACATTTGATTGTGTCCTAAGCTGAGGTAGGATTCCATAAAAATGGTTTCCATTCCTAAAACAATTTCACTCCCTTCACATTTCAATACTGTATACCATACCTGACACCTGTAATACACTGTACTCATTAAAATACATTACAATAGTTTTATAACCAAAATTTTTTCTTGGTTATTTACTTTAGAAACATGATTTCCCTGTTCACTAGAAGTGGGAACATCACATGATTATTTTCAATTTAATAAATTAAATATTTAAAAAACATTTTGAAGAAAGAATTATTTTTTTTAATACAGGTAGTCCCATTAACTTTAATTCTTAGTCTTTTCGAAACAGTTTAACTTCCTACCTGTACAACACAGTATACAGTATAGTCCTATTAATGTTAACTTTAAACAGTAAATTATAGTATTTATCAAAATATACATTAAATCTCATGTTCATAAAAACATATACAGTACAGCATTCAATGGTGTGTGCCTATTGTTTCCTTATACCTGTACAGTACCTATAGAACCAACTCCTCTGATTTAAGCAGGTGAATTGAACAAACATTTTGCTGTTTAGAATGTATTTATGGGCAACTCACTGTTGGAAGATGTGTCATTGGGTACTTTACTACTTGAAGTTAGTCATTGTTATAAAAAACTAAATAAATATATAAATTGCATTAAATTTTCCCCCCACAGAGTACCTTCAGTTCCCTTAGTTCTTCCTGGGATGAAATCAGTGAAGATTTCTGGTGGGTGGAAGGCAAGCTGGTGGGAGGAGGGATTCTGTCCCTTACCTTCACACCCCCAGTGTGTGGCTGTCTCACCTTGAGGTAGGCCCTGTGTATGACAACTGATTGACTCATTTTCAGATTACAGTAGTTAGTTACAAACTTTTAGAATCAATTTCAATTTCAGATCTAGTTTTTTTTATTAAATTTCATTTTTTTTCATATTGAAATTCATATAACACTGTTCAGAAATACAATTAAGTTTAAGCACAAACACAGACTTAGGTGTAAGTCTGTACAGGTGTAATAATTTCTGTCTGGTAACAGTACAGGTATTATAGAGTTGGTGCTTTAACCTAGATATAAAAAGGGCTGTATTAAAGAAGACTACAGTACTTGTTCTGTGTATTGTACAGTACATGATACTGTAGTATAGTCATGCTACAAGGGCAGATCCAGGAACATCAAAAGGGGGGCCAAGAAGTTGTGGGTGGTGGACCCTGGCAAACACAGTGAGCACACCCAGCTGTTTTTTTTTTAATCTGACCAATGTCATCGGCATTTTGAGCCACAAGGGCATTCTGAGGCCATTTTGAAGTCATTTGCACTTGATATTAGGAAATATATTCTGAGGTCAATAATAATTACTTTTTACTATACAAAAATGTCTAAGTACAATACTGTATTAAAGAAAAAGTATTGGAATTTTTTGATGAAAAGGGGGTCTGGACCCCCCCTGGATCTGCCCCTGCACTGCACACACAAACTACAAACTGTTGTGGTGTTTGTGATAAGTGTTGTGGCATATGAGATTGCATAGAAAGATAGTACTACTATATTGTACAGATTATGATGCACTGCACATCAACTCACACACACCCACACATAAATAATATAGAGTTTGAGCAGTACCATTACTTGTGGCAATTGTAGCATTGCTAATTCTTACATAATTTGCATCAGACTGCACAGTACAGTTCTGTATTTGGTACCTTTGTATGATATTTTTCAGCTCACTAAAAAATATTTGTGCTTAAGATTCACTTTGCACACTACATGTGTAGAATAAAGACAATGAAAGGGCATGCATGCACAGTCCAGTACAGTACACTGTACAGTACTGTACATGCATGCCTTTTCACTGTAATCCTGGTCTCAACCCATTCCTATTGCTTTCTGCACATGCCTTGCACCTCTCAACCACATTATTTCCTCCCTCTGCATTGATATTTCTGTATCCTGTCATCCATTGGCAACAAAAAAGGTACAGGTGGCAAAGGTAACAGATATACTATACTGTATACAATAGATAGATAAATTTAAGATGCCTAATGTATCTTGTGATTGTCAGTATTACTTTATCAATACAGGTCTATACTGTACACTATACATGTTACCTTAGTTCACATACCTGTACTTTGTAAATAAAATATCATTATATCTTTATCACTTGTGAACCTGTTTAAACACCATTATTACTATTATCAGTAGTATTTGTTTTGGTGGTGTACGGTATTATTATTTGTTTACTGAACATCACCTTAACACCTAACTGTGTCTCCTGCAGCACCTACTATGCTCTTCCTGTGGGAAACCTGACTTTGGTGGTTGGTCCTCAGGCCTATCCAGCAGAGCTCCAAAAGTTAGTGTGTGTTGACCCCTCAGCCAGGTACGAGGTAAGTGTTTATACAGTACAGTAGTTGCAACTGGAGACCCTTCAGCCAGGCGCTAGGTTAGCATACCTGGATCTGGCAAAGATTAATTGTGAACTAAACCTGGATCTTTACTGTCTTTTTAAATGTCTACACAATTTAAGGTCTACACAATTTAAGATTTAAATGATTAAAGACTACGGTATTTAAATATAACTGTGCTGTACACAATTGAAAATGTAAAAATTATAACACATTTATATAACTATAGTACGTATACAGTATACAAATGATAAGAGAAATATTATGCAGGAGAATGTTTAACAGTCAATAGGTGAATAAAATATAGAACATATAATAACATGCAAATGATTAAGTGAAAGAAAAATTAAACAGTGTTAATCTCAACAGGCATCTGAGGAAGGTGACGAGGAGGCTGACGAAGACCACATCTTACAGGACATTGGGCATCCAATTGTTGCAAATTTCATGGTAATTTGTACTGTACCAGAGTAGTTTTAGTTATGACAACAGCTACAGTTAATGCCAGAATTACTTATATTGTACAGTACAGGCATGGTTTTAGTGACAGTTAAAGATATGGTCAAAGTTACAGTCATATAGTATTTACAGGCACTGTTACAGTTTTGGTTGCATTCTTGGTTACAGTCACGGTGCAGTCAAAATTACAAGAAAAGAGTCAATGTCACAATGATGATTAGTGATTTTAACCTTCTGCTTAAAACCTGAAATTTTACTTCCTGCTGGAGTAGTAATTGGAATCTAACTGCTTAAGATAACCACTGAGGCTACACTATTAAAGGGGTGAAGCACAGACTGGATGCAAGAGGAAGAAGTAGATTAGAAGTGACAGAAAGGATGTACAGTACTTGAGAGCATTATGTAGGGTGAACGGACACAGAGAATCAGAAATACAGAAATAAGGAGGAGATACAACAGTGAAAAAGGTACCAGGCCTCTTTACATAACGGCAAGAAAAAGTTAGAATTACTACTTAGAAATATAAAGCAAATCCTAACCGGTGTTTTTTATCACAAGGCTGAAGATCTACATGGTGAAGCAGAAGACACAGAGGAAGATGAGGGACAAGACAGTAAAGACCCCAACCAGCCTGAGAGGGTAATTTTTGTTTGTGTTTAATAACTACTTTCCAAACCTTAATGTAGCTAATGAACAAATTCTTATTCACTTTTGTTCTTTAGGGAATGGAATAATTTGATAGAGTATCCAAGTTCTTTCAGGCAACAAAAACCCCAAACAAACCTTTCCTAATCAAACCAAAGCAACCCTGTGGATAGTCAGGTTGGGTCTTCTTGTAGAGTTTTTTCCAGTCATTTCCTTGTTTTGAATATGCCATCGTTAAGTGGTCATTCCTTTACTGTACTGTAATTTTGTTTCTGCAATTGTTGTAAAGACCTCAGTATAAGTCTACACAATAATAAGTGCAAAGATAGTCACAAATACGTAATAAGGATGTTTCAGTTGTACGGTAGTTTTGGAGCTGGCAACTTGCAATCATTTTACATTAGCTTTTTTAAAAATGGGTAAAATTTACAGTTCTTTTATCATTACACCCACATGTATAGAGTCCTCATAACTTATTCCATTCTTTAAATGGTACATCATAAAATATAGCACACCAAAATAAATACAGTATATGAAAATTATCGCTTATGTTGTGAAGATATTTGTAAATACTGTTCAGTAAGGTATTAACTGGAATTATACACCAGAAAACAGTCTACCAGCTTGGCCAGACTTAGAGTGCACAGAATTGTACAACATAAAAGCTCAGATGAAGCTATTACTAGTGGATTTTGATTGGGCAAACCATTTTGGCAAAGAAAATATCAGATTGCTAAGCACAGAGGCATTCCAATCCTGATTCTTACATCCCCGGTTTAAACCTTTCAGACTCCAAGACCAGGAAAACTAGGGCGGCGATTCAAAGGACAAAGGGGAAAGAAAACTGCTAAACGTCTGGAGAAGAAGAGGAGGAGACAAGAGAGGCGGCAGAGGATCCGGCAAGCTGGGAGGCAGGTGTTCCTGCATTGTTTCTCAGCTGAATAGTACAACTAATTCAGTTTACTCTTTCTCAGATTTAATGAAAGAGTCTCATTTTTACACACACACACACACACACACACATTTTACCTTTATTTTTTGTCATTCATTCATTCAAACCTGCATCTATAAAATATGTATTCACTTTGGTTCTCACATTCCACAGCAAGATCTCAAATTTAGTTTACTGCTTTTACTTACATAAGCCAGCAGCACACATTAGCAACATGTCCTTCACCAAAAATCACTGAACAATGTGGTCATTCATGTACAGTAACTAAAACAACTATCTGTTTTATTTCATAGTTTTAGAAGTTATTTATGTTCTGGTTCCTGTGTTTCTCAAACTTAAAACAAGATTTATTCTATTTTCTTCCCTGTATGAATACTGGACACTACTGTAGTTCTTGGTCTGTTTTACCCTGTTATGACATTTTGGAGAACCTTTCAGTTATAATTTAAATGCTTTTGATGGAATAATGATAATTTTGTGTTACAGTGCTTTACTTTACCCTTGTCAACACCATTAACAAGTACTGTAATGGGCATGTATGGTTCCTTGAATGTACCTGAATGTCTTCCAGTGTTAATTAAGCCTAGACTTAGATTCCATTTTCAATTTTGGCACACAGACAAAAGGTTCGCCTCCAGACCAATCAGGAGAACCGTGCAAACAGAACTCTCTGGAAGAACAACAAGAAGAGGCGTCAGAACAGGTGAGACCCTTTAGAACAATCCGAACCTAACCAAATCTTAAAGAAATCTAACTTAACCTTTATATAATTCAACTTTAAGATGGTTTAACATATCCATAACAAAACAAACTTTAAAAAAGTATAATTAATTGACACTAACATACCCTAATCTATTCTTAATGTAATTCAACTGTACTAATCCTAATGTAACCGTAATGCATCTTAATCTAACTTAATTTGAAACTAGTAAACCCTGATGTACACTCACCTGACCTGAACCTAACTAATCTTACCCTCACATTATCCAACCTAACTAATTCAGAAATTTTAAAACCTGCCTAAGGTTAAATGTTAACAAAACTTTAAGAGATTCTGTTAGTTGTCATCATCTGAATGACCATCTATTCTATGCTACTTTTGCCATTCCACTTAGGCATGTAATTTTCTGGAAAATTCTTAATCTAATTTTAGACATTTGAAAGAATGCTAATAAATTCAATATATCAACTGTTGATAAAAGCTACAATGAAAATGCCTGCAATTTAAAAGTGTCTAGATACAGTACTCATCATTTTAATAAGTTGTTGAAGAATATTTTATTGACTTATTGACAAGCTTTTGTCTTTAGGAAACAAGGGCGACATGGTAAGAAGGCCTGGAGAAAGTTTAAGAAGCAAAACAGAAAAGGAAAACGCAACAAGTTCTTCTCGAGACACCACAATGGTAAGAATGATCAAGAGAGCAATAAGACTGTGATAGAATTTTCTATCAAAATAAATGGAAAAGTTATTAGATGAATACAGTACAGGCAGTTCCTGATTTATGAAGGTTTAAGTTACTCTGGTTTCCTCCTGGACTGTACTACATGAATCCTGAGAGGGGCAGATCCAGGGGGGGGTCCAGACCCCCCTTTAATCTCCCCTATTTGATATTCCTGGATCTGCCCCTGTACTGGACCCATGAAGCACATGGGGGGATATAAAAGAACACTGGCTTCCCTTCACCATCAAAGCAGTACACAATAACTTTAATTTTATTGTTCCTTTTATGCAGAGTCTTCTGCCCTGCCAGGTAACACCACAGAGGAACATATGGAGGACCACCATGAGGAACTCAATTCCACGCAGCAACTGGTAAAGTTAAATTTGGTTTGGTTACGTTCTTAGCAACAACATTTCTTTAAGTACAGAGGTGTACTGTCTTGTTCGTGGTAGTCAGTAAAGCAGTATTAGTGTCCGAGAGGCATACCTTGCGCATAATTTTCCTGATAGGCAATATTGGGCAATGTTAGTGAGCAGTTTATATCAGACAAAGTTTTTCTAGAATCTGCATAATATCATTGTTTGTCGTTATTAAAGATTGAAGATGAGAGACTGGTAGACATTCTACTTGGTGGAACATCTAACACCAGTGAGGTGGACAGCAGTTTTGAAAGCCTTCTTCTGGAAGGAGGCCATGATCTGGAAGAAAATGACGAAGCAGAAGCCAATGATATTCCAGGTGACATGGTGGAAGCATCACCAAGATCCCGCAGAAAAAACAGGAGACAACAAAGAAAGAAGAGACGCAGGGAGAAAAGTTAGTTTTTCAGTTAAAATATACAGTACAATAATAAAATAAATAAATTCCCTCCCCCTTCTACTTGAGGGTTTTCATTATTATTTTTATGACTGATATGGAATTTCAGACCTGACCCACAAGAAAATGCCATTGTTTCTGATACATGACAATAATATAACAATCTCAGTATGTTGAAGAAATCTTCACATTTTCAGTCACACCAACACAGGGTGAACAAACTGTATTTACTCATGAGGCATAGGCACACCAAATGGTTATTTGGAGAGAAAGATGTTTTATTAACTAATCGTTATTATCATCACCCTTTTACATGTTTGCAGAGGAAGCAATATTTAAGAAGTCATCAGTTTTTTGGTTTGATCTCAATTCAGTTGACCACCAAGTTTTTACTTCATTCAAGATCTTACGAGCAGCACTAAGAATTTTCATTGACTTTCTTGGATCTCATACATAAGACAGCCTCTGCCTCAGCACTGTTTTTCTCATGATATGACTCCAGACAATAGGTCCTGTGATGCTATATAAAACACAACAGCCAAATTGTACCCACATCAAATTTCCCTTCCTCACCGAGATAATGAGACCTCTCCACTGCTAGAACACTTAGACGGTGACCAATAACATATCATTCAGGTGTGGCCTTTCTGTCATAAAAATGTCCTTCTTTAACAAAATATTTACTTAATATTTTAGGATAGAACCTGGATATTTTAGGGAAAGGACTTGAATATGTTTTGAAAAGAAACTTGATATTTTAGAAAGGCACCTAACTATTTTAGGAAAGGACCTAGTACTGTACTGGATATTTGTCATCGTCTCCTAGCTATCCTCACTAACCAGGACAGGTTTGTTCAGTGAATATTTATTTTTTTATTTTTTTTTTAGGTTTTATATATTGTATTATATTTTTCTTCTTGTTTAAAAGATATTATTTAATTACAGAGAAGATCTATAGTCCTGGGGAAAAGTTTTGCTGTAAGCAGGGTGTTAAACACAAGAAATACATAATTCTGGTCAATACCTCAGTTGAGGAAGGTAAGAGGTGATCAAACTCTTGGTTACGTATTAATTCTTCAGAGAAAATTGCATGACATTTCATTTTACTTGCTGAGAAAATTAAGTACTGTAAAACATTTACTTGTTAGAATACAGTATACAGTATGTTTTTTTTAAGTACATTACAGTAATGTCAATTGTCAATTTCAGTTGTTAGTGGAGTGACAGAGACAGAGAGGTAAAGTTTACTTTTGCTAATTTTCTCTCCCAGGAGATGTATCTCCAGTTTCCTGCAACTCCACTCATGATGTTGTGACAACTTTTGCCATTCATCAGTTTGCAATTGCTGAGGACCAGTGTGAAGCAAACTTTTTAATATGTTGCTCAAAGTTCACATCTGAAATGTGGTAAGTAAATTTGTTTTTTAAAAAACTTTCATCATCAATAACATTTTATAACCATTTTCCATGCTCCCTCTGCTCACCACTATAAACCCAGGTGCCAGCCCAGAAAATGCAGCTGAATCCAGGGGATGGGTAAAGGTCTGGTAATCCAGTTGCCTTCAGACATGCTGAAGTGAAGTTTTAAGGATGGATGCCCTTTCTAGTGCTATTTCACAAGGTGGAAACAGCTAACAAGGCAGGTTCACAACTCCCCAAGGTAATCAAAGGTCACCTGCAAGTTTGGTATGGAGGGTACAGTATTTTTTCATATCCTCACACTTTATAAAGTACAGTACAGTTCTGCATACTATTTTATAGCATTGTTCAGTCACCCTTTTATCTATTCATTGAACATTTCTAATGTTTTTATCAAATTGTGTATTATCAAAAATTTTTATTACTCATGGAAAAATACAGTCACAGGTCATGGCTCCAGCTTTTATGGTTCTAGGATTCTGGGAATGTCATTGCTCACAGTTAAAGCTGTTTTACTGATGTGTCTACCTGGAGGTTCACTCCTGTGTGAGACTAGTATTTGTGAGTTTGTGTTACTTAGTCCATCACAAAGGTGTTGGGAGGCAGCTCTGGCCCCCATTGCTCCCCATTCCAGCCATCTTCTTCAAACACAAATTTCCTTAAGTTAATAATTTTGAAACTGTGAGTCCAGAGAGGGGTTTCCAAAGTGAGCTGTATACTAATATGCTCAAGTGATTTCCATCAATATTCTACAGATTGGTTAAACCGTTCCTGTCCATAATCTTTGGAGTGAGTGAATGTGGAGTTGAAGTGACAGGAAGGCTTCTTTTTCTCCCCCCTCCATCCTACCACTTGGTTTCTATTCATTCTACCTTCCTCCCTCACTCTACTGTATCTGTCTCTCTCCATGTTACAGGGATGCTATCAAAGCAAAGAAAACAGCACGCAGAGTGCAACGGAAGGAGAGACGAAAGGAACGTCGCCAGCATCGCAAGCAGCAACGGAAGGAACTACGCAAGCAACGCAAGCAGGAAAGGAGACGACATCGGTGGCAAAATGTGCAGGAAAATGAGTTGGAGGAAGACTATGATATCACGGTCAGACCCTCGATTGGTACAATAGTTTAGAAGACAAAAGGGATAGGTTGAATATAGAGAAGGTGAGATTTTTTTTCAAGTATTAGTAGAGATTGTTCCATGTCAATAAAAAGTGTTCTTTCTTTGGATGATGATGTCAACAAAATCGCTCTCAATACTGTATAGAAAGGAGTCTATACGATGAGACAGAATTGGGAATATGATGATAATAGATTAAACTCTAGTTGGAAATCTGATGCTTGTAAATGTAACTCTTACTGAAAATCTGACATCTAGAGTTTGAACTCAATTATGAGAACTGACTCTTGAGATATGATCTAAGCATGGAGGTCTGAGATTTAAGAGATGGAACTTTTATAAAGGGATGAAACTCCTGAAATTTTATTATAATGAATAATATTGCACAGTGTTTCATTAGTGTTGGAGGAATCATGAGTTGTCCATCAACATGTGAAAGAAGGTTTTGAGTAATAATGAAGAAGTAATTAAAACTTTATACAGTATTATTTGGAGAAAACACTCAGGAGGACCACAGCCCATCTTCACACAATAAATGAAGATTTAATTGATTAAATAAGTAAGTATTTTTTCATTAAATGCTCAAAATCTTTTATCATTATTAATACTTATGACCTTGTAAGTAGTGATGGGTTCATTATCACCTTGAAGTGACATTAGCAGTGGTGGCTGATCACAAGTGTAGGTTTAGTTGGGTAGTTACATAGCCCCTTGTGCACCATTCATTTTCCTATAGGCCAATCATTTTTTTACCAGACAATGATAAATATCTCTGAAAACTATAATTTGTCATTATAATAAAGAATTTCTGATAAAGGTACTTGGTTTTTCTTTATTCATTCATATTACTTAGCTTTTGGGTTCAATGCCAGTGAGAATGCCTCAGATGTGAATGTTTTTAGTATTAATCAGGGACCAGATTCGCTAAAGACTTACGATCATTGTAAGTCTCTACGATCAACCTAAGTTTGAACGGGTGATTCACAAACAGTTTATGGTGGCTGTAACCCAATTTATAGTACAGTACAGCAAAAGTTCGGTGGCCACTAAGTACCCATAAGCTTTTGCAAGGAGGAAATAACTCCCGTTTTTTCTCTTACACAAACCGTTCCAAGGCACATAGACCTGCCAGATGTACAGTACCTCAAACGTCACTATTGAGAGTGAAGCTGAGAAGATGTAACCAATGATTGCTTTAGCTCATGACCGTACACTGAGGAGAGAAAGGGTGTTTAGGAATCCTTTGGATTCGCTACAAATTGTAGGGATATTCTCTGGCTAGATACATCTGTTAATAGCTGTAAGGTTTTTTGCAAGTGGTAGTTTCCAAAAAGTAGTTGATGATGTTACTAGCTTAAGACAATCAACTGTGTCAAGAATTATAAAAGGCACTTGTTCCAAAATGATAGTACAGTACAGTATAATAATCATGTACAGTAATTATTATTAGTTTTATTATTATTAGTAGTAGTAGTTTTATTAATACAGTATAATTATTATTAACAAAAATCTCATCGGAGAAATTCAGCAGCCTTCTGTTTTAAAATTGTCCCTCCATTGTTCTTCTCACGTATGACTTTATGCTTCATCAGCTGGCGTAGGTAACTTGTGATTGGCTAATATTCCTTGATCTAGCGAGGAAACAAAACAAATACACCACAACACCCTCTGGTGATAGCTTACTGAACTTAACTTACTTGCAGCTAGGTGTAGTCCTCAAAATGCAGGTGTGGTCCTCAGAGGGCAGGTGTGGTCAACTGTGGTCCTGAGAGTGCAGGTGTGATCAAGTGTGGTCCACAGAGTACAGGTGTGGCCAATGTGTGGTCCTCAGAGAGCAGGCGTGGCCAGGTGTAGTCCTCAAGAGCCTTGGTGTCCTACTGAAAACCAATTCTTTAGTTTTTAGGGGAAAAAATACCGAAGCTAAGTCACACAAATCTCTAACCCTCTACACCACTCTCACCTACCACACACCCCTTCTACACCCTTTTAACACTCCATATACCCCTCTAACTCTGCACACACTCTTCTTAACATTCCACACAATTCCCCATTTATCACACACCCCACTAACACTCCACACACCCCTCCCAGCTATCATATACATCTGTAATGCTTCATATATCCCATTAACACTCTACTTACCCGTCCCACACACTTCTAATGCTCAACGCACCCTTCCCACTTATCATGCACTCCTCTCACCTAGCATACATCCCACTAACACTACACCCTCCCGACTAACACACCACACACACATAGTACTGTATATTGAGATTTTTTTCATTATTACTAAATGTCTTTTTAGAAAAAAAGAAACTCCAAAATTATTGGAAATGTTTTTACAAAATTTCACTAAATTTCCCCCCTTTCAAGAATTTTTCTGATTTAAAAAAAAAAAAAAAAAAATAGAAATAAAGATACAAATAATTTTTTGAAATTTCCAAAACTACAGTATTTGAAAAACATTTTAGAAATTTTCATAAAATATCCTGAAGATGAACAGCCACTGGGGAGATGATTCATATAATAGAATGGTAATTTAGTCTCAAGATGTGACTGATCTGTGAAACAAATTAATAACCAAGCCAACCTACAAGCTAACCCGGAAACCTTTTATTCAAGCTGTTGATTATTCCGGGTGTATCAGTACATTTGTTGTTAACATATGAATCCTTTACATTGTATTTTCACATTTTCTTCTTTAATATTCTACATAATATGCTGCCTTGTTTTCTAAAAAAAAATTAACTCGTCTAACTTAATACAGTAAGTCCTCAATACAGTACAATGTATGCAAGTTCAGCATATGCAAAGACCCCATTCCTACCATGAATTCAATTAATGTGAACAAAATTCAGCCTTATGCGAGAGGTCATACTCCCTGATATGGATTCAAACCCTGATGACTCTGCAGATGTCACTCCAACACCATCACCCACTGTGTAAAGCCTCTACCACCACCTCCATCAACTCGTCTACCCGAGTTGATGTATCCTCTTATATTGTTAAGTACACTGTACTGTACACTTGCTTTATCTATTATTTTGAAAATAATATTGTATTAATTTGTTTTATGGTTTATTTGTCTTGAAAATGGGTCTGAAATATTTTCATTTTGGGTGTGGAATGCATCCTATTTTTTTTCCATTTAATTAAGTATTCAATATACAGTACAGTATGTGATTTTGATTCATGTGAGGGTTTTCAGGAACGCATACACCGCATATATTGAGGACTTACTGTACAGTATAAAAGAACCTGAGCAAACAACCTGATTTAGCCAAACCTTACCTAAACTATAGGGAATACAGTTTGTTAACTACTGTACTGTACTTAACAACCTCTCCTGTTTGTGGTAAATTTTCAATCCTACTTTTTATCTCATAAAATGTACCGGTATAATTTTCAAACTCACTTGAACAAAATCTTGACTGATGGGAAGTTAAGATTTTTAGAAGATAAATATGAGGAGCCCTCTGAAGTTCTCCAGTTTGTGGGTCATATGCACACAGTGGTTGCTCCAACACTGAACAGTCATCACTTACACTTTATATTTACCGGTAATTACTTTATATTTAGTTACACTTATATCTAGTATGCACTTAAATCTGGCTCATGTCATAAAAAGTACTCCACTTCAGCCCTAACTCCTCACAGATAACATTCATGGAGGCCTCAGTATCAAATGTCTCATATCTTCAGTTTCTCTTCAACTGGTAGAGTTCTGAGCGCCATTTATTTTCTCCCAGTGGTCCTCAGTGATGTTGTTTTGCCCTTAATGGATTTAGAGGCCATAATAATATACTAGGAAAGCACTGGAAAAAAAGAAAAGGAAAAAAGGCCACAGTGGAACAATGTCACAACATGCATGAACTGACTCCTCCCCTAACTGTTGCGCCACACAACCCCTAAGCCAAAGCTTGTTGTTCACCTTATGGGGGTCCTGACTTCGAAGGGTCTTACTGTATAAAGGTTTAATATGTAGTCACAGTATAAGACAGGGATTAGTCTATCATTTGTTATTGACTGATTAATTATACATCATACAGAAACTTCTTTCAGACATTACAACAAGTTCTACAATCTATTGTACATATTATTTATATACAGTATGCGAATATACAAAATATACATAAAAAAGTAGAGGATAATTTCATCAGTTACTATATTAGATTTAATATGTAAATTTTATTTATATGACCTCGTCACACAAAATCTCACCAGTATTCATAATTATTTAAGTATCTACATCAAGCCTGTGCATTTATTGCCCCCCACCATCGAGGGCAAACTAAAAAAAGTTGTAAAGGGATTACAGGTATTTCCCATTATAACATGGTAAAAATCGAAGACTAATTTGTCTTGCTTCTCCACATTGTGTTAAGGTAGCATTCCTCTGGTTTACCTTACCCGAGAGATGCACACTGTCTTTTACTACATGTATTGTTGGGTTGGCCTAAGTTTCATCCTGGTCTTGCCATTTAATATACTCCATGCCAGCCCAACCTATAAGCGGTCATTTGGGGTCCCCAAGCAATATATTTCAAAATTATTTTTAACTTTTGAAGAAAACTCAAAATGGTAAATGATTTTCAAACTGGCCCGGGCTCACAGCTGGGCTTATGAAGTGTGCCAATGCCAAAGGTATGATAATTGTCGATACAGTGTGAAAATTTACAGTACAAGGTATATCATTTGTTTGTTTTTTCTGGTAAAATAATATTTATTTCCATTTAAAGAAAATATGAATTTACACAATTTCCATTCAAATGTCAATAACAATTTGTCATGTACAGTAAGTCTTCATCTAATGTTGTCCCAGTTAACATTGTTTTATTACTTCAATAATATTTCTATATCAAGGCTTCACACAACGTTGTGTAAAATCGTTACTACGTTGTTGGTCAGACGGTACTTTGCTCTGTGCAACAGTTTCCCTCACCCGCTTAGTGGGGCTGTATTATGTCACCGCAGAGTAGCATCAGTCTCACTTGTGCCTCTGCCAAGTGAGGATGCATCACTTGTTCTATGTACCTCGTGTTAACCTAGTTTATGTTGTTGCTCCACTTTACACATTGAAAAGGCTTCAAAACAACCACCAACTGATTTTGCTAGTACCTGTACCTGTAGTTCTAGTTGCAAGAAAGAAACAATGGAGACGCGCCAGTCTGGCAGTGAAGACAGCTGTTTTACATCGCTTTGAAGTCAGCTAATGTGCTATTGATATAGGGGGTAGCGTTGGGATTACCCGCTACCACGTTGCATACTATTTGGTTAGTGCTGACAAAATTAAGACCAGTGTTGGAAATGCTTCGTCTATGAGTGCTACTAAGACAAGTCGCACTCATTGTGGAGTAATAGGGGCATTGAGGGGAGGGGAAGAGCCTCTGGGTCTCAGTGACTCCCACCACTCACTCACTTCACCTTTGGCCATCAATGAGTACAATATATCATACCAAATATTAATTAAAAATTATTGTAGTTTATATCTATATGTATTTACAGAGCAAAATATACAGGTATTTACAATCGTGTTTACAGTGTCTCAATTGTGATGCATGTTAAGCAGGTGAAAGGAGGCTGAGAACACAAACGACTTATTTCTTAACTTTCTTATGGGAAAAATTGATCCATTAATGCTGTTTTCCATAATGTCACAGTTTACAAGAATTTAACCACAACGTTAACAGAGTATTTACTGTATTATAACAATGTTTCCTGTTGATTATTGTTTGTTTTCACCCATTCAAATTGTGCTGATATATACAGTATAGTGAACTGTATATTGAAATTCAGATGTCCTTAAATAAATTATTTAGGCCTATATGAGTTTGAATGCCACTGGGCAGAGTGGAGGCAGGCTACAGTGAGAGGGACCTCAAACAAAATCTCACTCAGGGTCCCCAATAGGGTAGGAACGACCCTGAATATATTTTACTGTACAAAAATCTTAAACTAGTCACAATTCAATATGGAACGCATAAGGTATCTGGCTAAATACTGTGGTCAATGCCTTACCTGTCCAACAAAACCAACCCGATGTTTGTTTTCTCAAATTATTAATTTATCTATACTACACTTTTCTATTCCAGTAAATTGAAAGAAAACAGTTTTACTTCTGATGTTTAAAGTAATTACTGTATTGTTATTTTAAACAACTTCAAAATCCAAGTATACGATTGTACTTATTTCAGTATATTGACATTACATCCTGAGGTAGGTGGCAGCTGCTCTCAAGGGACTGGAAAATAACAGTGCAGTAATACATTAGTACATACAGTCAAACATCATGAGAATAATCACAAGAGTTTTCATGTACAGTATATGACGTATTGTGGATATTAATGATGACTTCAGCATGTACAGTATTTAAAGGGGTGTATATTGAGCGAGTGCTGGTAGCCTTGGTGTTGGCTGGGCGGATATCAGTGATGACCCGGGGAGGTGGTTGGGTCAATCAGCACCATATGTAGACCCTACACTAGAGTCACTTCTCCAGCACGTGCCCAATATACACCCCTTTAATCCCTTCACTACGGGAACACCACATTTTAATATTTTGTTTGGCTAATCCCAGACAACTTTAATCAGCACAGAGGGGATTCCGCATACAAACGGCTAGTAGACTATCTCCACTAACCCCTTCAGTATGGGAAAGCCACTTTTAACATCTAATGAGGTTCACACCAGGAAATTTTTATTCAGCAGAGATGACCCCATACACAAGGGGTTAAATACTGTATACAGGTATCCCCCACAATACAGAAACTCAGGTTGCAGAAATTAGCCCATAAGGAATTTGTAAATTACGATCACTAAATTAGGGATATGGCCTGTAAATTGGACCTTGCATAAATGGGGTATATTTTCCACACAAAAATTACGATAAAGAACAAAAAAAAATAATTTAACAGAAATTATAATTTATTTGCTGTGGATTTCATGGTGTTTGTTACCACAAAGCATGGTACACCAGCATACTCACACCAACTCAGTGTGTTGTTATCTCCCAGCATGTATGCTTGATCTTGACCCCCAGCTCTTGGATTTAATACTCATGTATGTATCTTATTTAAGACTGTCCAGTGTATTACCCTTATTCAAGATGAGTGGAAAGAGGCCATCAGGTGCAAGTGAAATCAGTAGTGCTAAAAGAGCTCATAAAGGAATTATGTTGGACATAAAACTTGACGTTTTACGGAGAATTGATGCAGGAGAAAAACTTAGCCAGATTACAAAAATATAAGGGCTTGCTACATCTACAGTGGGTACAACATGTGATAATACACAAAATTATGTCAAGTGCTCAAGCAGCTATTCCTTTAACTGTACTTCATAGTTTCAAAGAAGTCATGTGCTGCTTAATATGGAATGACTCCCGAGTGTGTGGATTGAAGACCAGACCCGACGTAATGTGTCGATAAACACGATGATCATCCAAGAGAAGGCAAATAGGAACCGAGTCTGTGTGGGTAGAAATCACGGAAGGAAGAGAAAAACTAATTATGGGAGTGATTTACAGGCCCCCAAGTCTTGGCAAAGAAGCAGCTCAGCCCATATGGCAGGAAATGAGTAGGGCAGCAAAATATAACAACCTATGCATTATGGGGGACTTCAACTTCAGAAATATTGACTGGGACAACATTGTAGGTGACTATGAATCTGAAGACTTCCTAGACGCAGTACAGGACAATTTTTTGAAACAACTAATTACAGAACCTACTAGAGGTGACAATATATTAGACCTAGTATTAACAAATAAAGAAAATATTATCAGAGATATCACAATAGGGGAAGAACTAGGGAACAGTGATCACAGAGAAATCAAATTCAGCCTAAATTGGGAAACAATAAATAATGATAATATGGTCAGATTCCCAGACTTTCGATTGGGCGGATTATTAGTGGTTAAGAAGGTACCTAGGTGAGGTCGCCGGGAACAGTCAGGTGAGTCCCCAGTAGGAATGGGTGAGGTCACCGGTTTAGAACAGAAAGAAATCTCTCTGCTTCATTTTATTTATGCAAGACCCAGAGATGTGCAGTTTTCTAGCAAAATTTCTTAAATAATGTACTTAACATTAACAATGAACTAATTTTTGTATGAGAGATCATCGGTGGCCAATAAAAATTTTATCACATTATATTTTATAAGTTCTTGGGGATTAAAGGCTACACAGTCACAAGAAGTTCTGTCTTATTCCATAATGCCACATGAAAAAAGAGTTAACAAATTAAAAGTAATTATATATACTGTACTGTACAGTATATGCTATAATTAACCAGTGCATTAATCTAGAAATGTTCCATTCATCTGGAGAATTGTTTCTTGGTTCCTGGTTTGGTAGCAGAATCGTGCGAAACTTGAAAGACAGTGCCAGTAAGAGGACAGACACTAGGATTGGGTGCACATGCTGGGTGTGCCATCACTCCATTTGGGTAGATGGTGAACTCACAGCTTGAAAATCCTCGGTTGCAAACACAGCATATCCTGCATTGAGAATGACAAGTTTGAATAATTATGGTGCCCAATTACTGTACAATTTTTATCTTTTAGTCCCTTTATTGCAAATTACACACACATTCACTGTCATCCATTCACTCTTACTGCTGTAACATACAAAAAAGTCATGCTCTCTTATCAATCGCATATTATGCTCCACCCTAGATCTCCAACCCCTCCATGTGTAATGTATCCTTCACCATAAAATTCTCCCATCTCCTTAGACCAGTGGTTCTTAACCTTTTTTGAGTCACAGACCCCTTTGGGAATCTGGTGAAAGCTATGGACCCCCTCCCTAGAAAAATGCACATAAGCACATAAACACAACTTTGTATGCAATGAATATACTTTATTTTATTGAAAATTCATTGCCTCATACAGTGTATGACATACACAAAGTATGAATAAAGTAAACAATCTTAACAATTATGTTTCACACTTTTTATGCAAAAACTAATGGCCACTCCATACAAAAATGAAATACAATCATCTTGTGCAAATTAAACAAAACAAAACTTTAATTCTGCTCAAAAGTTCATTTCAATGAGAAGGTTGTTGTTTGGCTTGAATATAAATTTAAAATTTTTATCTGACCTTCACGGACCCCTTGATGCCCATCCATGAACCCCTTGGGGGTCCATGGACCCCAGGTTAAGAACCCCTGCCTTAGACTTTCCCTCCCCTTCCTCCCATCCATAACTGAAATAAATATATTAGAAATCTCCCCATTAGCTGGAATCCCCAATCCCAGAACTCTCAAATAGCTGGATTTGAAATAGGGATGGAAAAATGCTCTCCATTCAGGGTATGCAAACGAGTTTCTGAGGAAGTGATAGAACGCACAAGGTATTTTCGAGATGTTACTAAAATTTGTATCTGATAAGTAAACGGCACTCCCACCTTTGCAAATTTTTTAAGGGGAAAATGCACGGCTTACATTCGTCAAAATATATTTATTTTTTATTTTATTTTTTAAATGATCTTTCACTATCCATCTCTCAATAAGTCCACACTACCTTAGTTATCTCTGAATGACACCTCTCTCATTTCCAGATTTCTAAGTTTCTGCATTTTGTATTCTATGCATTCCAATCCCCAGTCCCACAAACTGATCTTAAGCACATTGTTTCTGGAGCTTCTGATTCGTTTCTTTCCTCTTGCATCTTAAGTCTAAGTGTGGAGATTCCATAGATACTTTTTTTAAATGTACCAATCACCAACAGACCAAATCTTATCTATTAGAAAATGGTTGGTAGTAATATACTAGTCTGAGCAAGACATCAGATGTCTAACCCAGTACATTTGTACATAAACATCACACATGTCTGGAGGTCAGGTACCAAGCAATTCCCCAAACATTGTACTAATGTGCTTAGTCTATTTGTGAAACTGTACAATGTACAATGGTTAAGTGTTAGCACAGCACTGTTCCTGTGAGTTTACAAGAGCCTTTGTGGCTTAAACAAGCAGCAGTAGATATCCACCAGTTAGTGGGGCTCCATTAGTGTATCATTTTAAAGGCTGAAGAGATGTACTATACTCTTATTTTATACCACTTACAGTCTTAAGTACAGTACAAACTTTAACCAAAGTTTTAGCCATAACAACCACTAATGTTTACCAAATCTCTGGCCTTAAACCTATAAATTACTGGTGTTATGATCATGATTCTCTAGTCTCTATATGATCCCTACACTCTCCCTTTTTTCTGCACCACAAACACATTCATAAATGCTTTCACACAAACTGATGTAAACTATTATGACGACATGTTAGCACTACATAATACTACTGAAAAAACTACAGCAAACCTGTTTGCAGCTAATGGAATGGGTCCTATATCTTTATTGAGTTTATATAGGATGAACTTTTGTTGTAGATTCTCACTGCGCACAAGTGTCTGCTGTATTCTCTTGATTCGACTCTGAAAACAAATAAGAAAATAAATAACTTTTCTTATACAGTATGTATAATAGGATCACCTGAAGATTAGCTCTTAGCTTACTTCACCCGATGAATAAACACCCTAACACTACCTGGAGGCAATGTTCCCTATAAGCTGCATGCTTACGGGGCTGCATAACAATCAATCAAGTATCGGACACTTATTTTTTCCTGCTGCACACATCACCAACGACAATGAGATCTCTTTTTCATATTACCGTAAATAAACATTGGTGCACAGAATAAAATACCATCCTCACTGAGAGGGAAAAATTGAGGGAACATTGCTTGGGAGGGGGGAGAGGGTAGATAGATTAATAAGTTAGTTTAACATTGGGGGGTTATTTTAAGGTGTTATAAGCTGGAGGGTTAATCTTCAGGTGATCCACATAAGGTAAATTAACAACTTTACTGCCAACAGATGAATTTTAAAGGGTATAAATATTGTATGCAGTAACCACCAGTCACTGTTTCCCCTCCCCAGCCATAAAACTCTTCTCAGCACTATATAACATGTGGCCAGAGTAAAAAACAATACTGATTCTCCCATCACTTGGTGTCATTTATTCTCCAGTATCACCAGCACATCCAATCCCATAAACATTCAGTAACATATCAATAAATTAATACTAATCTCAAAAGAATCACACTTTAGACTACTGTACATATATATTTTTTATTATAATTACCACACATGAAACTAGTAACAACCACGCTGATATAGCACATCATTGACGTTGTCAGTCTTTCACAGGGAAGCCAATGTCCCTCTGCTCAACACATTTCAATCTATGTTCTACTTTCCCTGTTAAAGCTCTGGACAACATACAACAATTTCCCATACACCTCATACTTCCCACACTGTTTTTCTATTCCTCTTTATGATGTACCTTTTCTTAGACCCATTAATGCCATAACCAAATTGTTCTCCCCAATAAAATTTGCACTAATAATCTTTTAACAGAATCATTTGATACGTACACCACCTTCCTTTTTTTTAACCCACACTACTGTTCCCTTAATATTTTTTTTTTACTATAGTTGTCTCAGTAATAACTCTACAGGCTTATTCCTCTGTAATTAGTAAATTAATCATCACCTTCCCTTTAATATAGGGGAACTATACAGGAGTATATGCTCTCCTCTATTTTAGTATGCCCTTGCCCTGGTTAAATGTACAGTATCCTGTATCTGTACACTTGTGTCATTGTTTCCACTTGCCATCCTCAACATTTCAACAGTGATACAATACAGTACCACTACACCTGGTGCCTCACCAGTCTTCAACTTATAGGTAACGTTACTTTTTACTTTATTCTCCTTGTCCCTAACATTATATTGATACATTAAAATATTAGGTTAGGTTAAGTTTGTGTGAATTTAATGTACACTAAAGACTTTCAAAATGTTTAACTACAGTATCACATAAATTAAGTGTCTACTATATACACTGTTCACTGATTTAGTAAAAATGTTATTTATCCTCTTGTCTTCACTAAAAGTCTGAATACAGTATATGCATAGTAAAATTGAGTAGAGATGTCATGTGCCAACAAAAGGATTCAATAAACCCATTTGTAAACTTTGAGTAATTTTGGTACAGTACTACTTGTACCAACATAATTATAAATATAATGATATATTAATAATAATGCCAATATTCCATTACTGTAAAGTAAGACTGCAAATGAAGCATTTATTTCAAATGATTAAAAAATAAAAACTGCAAAATACTGCACCTGATGCAAAGAGGTTCTTAGAGCAGCTCGTAAGTAGTGATGAACAATACTGAGCGACCAAGTGGGTGGCAGGAGTGCCAAGACTGCTGATACTTCCAAGTCCCCAGCGTGAACTGACAGAAGTTCTATTGCTGATGCTAGTTCGATGTCATCTTCAGAACCCCTGTAGATGTTAAAAAAATTAATTGAAGACACTGGGGGAAGAACTAAAAACGACAGAAAATATAATTACTGCCAAGCTCATTTAAGAAACTCCAAGAGCACCACAAAGCCCATCCATAAGTGATCACAATTCCTTTAAAAATAAGTCAATGGCACTCATATTCAAAGCCATAGTAAGAATTTGATATGGCTATGTCAAACACTTCTTGACATAACTTCAATACATATTGGAAATTAACAGATGAATCAGCAGATGTACAGATTAGGCAAAGACAATACTGTACAGTACTGTACTTAACATCTTACGTGAAGTCAAGGATCAGACAGTGAAGAGTAGAGGTGACTGAAGAGTAGTGTGAATATTGACAATTTGATGTAAACCAGTAAATTGTATAGTATCATGAGAACAGACAAAGAGAAGAACCTGTACAGTATTAGGAAAACAATCCTTCAGGTCTCCCACAAAGGTACTTACAGTACAGTACATGGGCAACTGTACAATAGCAACAAATTGTATGTACTGCATGTACATATACAAGAGAATCCAAAAGTGTTTTGGGTATCTCTAAAAAGTTACCATATAAGTTGACATCACGAATGTCTAGTCTTGAATTTTCAGAAAAGGAAAGAAATCACCAAAACTTTTTGAACAACGACCAAATGCACTCATGTTTGAGAAACCATGGGATGAATTTATATTAGCAATATAAGGCTATAGACTAACAATTTTTGGATAAAAAACAGATGGCCTATTCTCTTATTGCATTTGCATTGATGATAATTTATTACTCTGCAACCAATGAGCAGGAATCACTGAACCATGCTCAAATGCACATCTATTTTAAGAAACCAAAACATTACTTTAATGTTGCAAAACGAAGGAAATTGGGTTATTAAATTTGAAGGCATTGATCAAAAACTCTTCCTCATCATATGGCACAAATACAAGTAACTGAAACTCTGTCAAATGAAACCAAATGCACATCAAGTTGAGGAACTGCCACACGAGTTTACACTTGCAATAAGGTGATAGATTTGAAAAGAAAATGATCAGAAACTTCTGTAATCTTTATAAGATGGACAGACAACCTATTTGAAATAAGTCCCCAAATGAAGGCATTAACACTATTGTGATTAAGGTCTATCATGATCAGGTAATAGATATGAGGAAATAGTTGAGATATTAAAAAAATGGATTACTGATTGCACATGATTTTAATTTAAGGGCAGGAACCTAAGATACTTTACTGTCTTTGTGAGGAACAGAACTTTTGTCCAGAAGGAATTACCCACATGACTACCCCACACAAGCATGGAAAATGGCTATAAAATGATGATGGTGATTTTTCCTACTTACCCAGGTGGTGGTCGCAAGTATATCTTTAGCAACTTGAGAAAGATATTGGATTTAAATGTGTTATCTGCACCTCTGGTCTGTGCTATACAGTATTGCTCTGCTGCACTGAAGTCTTTTAATTGATGGACAAGCATGGAAAGAGCTTTTTCATGTTCACCAAGCTGTCAGAATGGACAAATACGAATAAAATACTCTATGGTGGTCACTAACAACAACAACAAAATACATTGGAGGAGAGTGATTGGAGAGCTGGGCATTACCACATGGGGGAAGGAATTTAAGCTTGGGATAAAAAAGGGACTAAGGAACAGTATAATACTTCCTACCATCAAACATGGTTGTAAAACACTGGCTTGAAATTAATTAGAATGTCCTTAAATTACACTACCAAAATAAGTTAACCTAAAGCTGCATCTGAGGTTGACAGAGAGGAAAGGGTATGAAGTTGTAAGCTATACGGTGTGTTTGTGGAATGCCAAAGTGGACAAAGGGTGTAAATTGTAAAGAAGCAAACTGGATGAGAGAGTCCCCAAGGTGCTATGGGCCTATGAAATAGTTGCAAAGAACAGGATAAGGTACAGGTAAAATAAGATTAAAATTGCAACATAACAGGGTAGAGGGGAGACTGCCTAGTTAGTGCTTAAATCACTGGAGGTAAAGTTAGAACACTGTATTATGGATAAAATAGGGAAGGGGATATAAGGAACAGAGAGGGCAAAGGAGATATGCAGTAAATGGGTGACCTGGAGGCTTCTTCTGTTATGGCCACCACCTTCAGAGCAGCTCCCAAGAGGAGTGAGGAATTGTAGTTTGGTAAGTACTGTACAATACAAGCTCTGACACTGTACTCTGGGAGTTAAGTAAGACAGAAAACTGTTTGAGACTAGTTAGAATATTTAAAGTTAATAAAACTCCTCACATTTATATGAATACGTATAAAATTTAAAAAAAAATCCAAACAATTCTGTAACATCACAAAGTTAACAGTTAAAAAGATATATAATTACTGTATCCATATTTAGCTTGAACTATGGTCTCTGTACTAATAAAACTAAAAAAATAAAAACGTGATGAATTAATTTGTAAGGTACACAAAAAAACATAGAGTATAATAAAAAAATAAAAGAATTACCCTTCCAAATACTGCAGCTGTTTCCACATGGAGACTAGTACCCTGCATCCTGGACAAGACTGGCTGAGGCTGGTAGTGGCAAGAAGAGGTGAGCAGGTCTTGCAACTTCCCTCTAACCTCTTCCAGTTGTTCAACAGATGTGGGCCCCTCATTAATCAATCTCACTGCCTCATCTACATAGTGCAGGACCAACTCTGTGTGATATTTTTCATCCTAAAACAAATATTAATAAATTAATTTTACGACATGTCATTCTACTCACACTTTGTATATTTCAAGAACAATTGCCTATACAACATCCAAAAGATACCAAAAACAATTATACAGAGATAAAAGTACCTGTAACTTCTTGGTGTCAATAAGGTGATGGAGAAATCCTAACCTAGCTTCTGGGTACCTCTGAAGGATCTGCAGAACTCTTGAGGGATCCAATGTTGCTTTTGTTTCAGTAAAAACTCTTACTCCTTCCAATGGATTTCGATCCAACACAAAGTCTGAGTAACGCCATACAACATTTGGGTCAGCCGCACTGTGAATCAAATGTTTTATTACACAGTTTAATATCATCTGATCCTGGAAGGGATTAATTTCTTCTCCATGCATACAAGTATTTACCAGATATGATACAGGATAGGTGCTGAGCTAATATTCCGAAGCATCTGACAACTACAGTAGTAGGCTGCCCTACCATCTTAACAGTACAGTACTGTATACCAGTCCACAAATGGGCTGTTCCATCATTGGCAAGTGTACCTGATGATGATTTTATTCTATTTCTAAGTCTGCGAGTGTATAAGTAAGAAACTCAGTCCTCCCCTCTGGTTGCAACTTAACCCAACACCATTACTTTGGAAGGAAATACTCAAGCACTAAGTTTGCATTACTAGTGAAATGATTAAAAAAAAAAAGTAGTTTGAGCAATGTAATTCTGAAGCCATAATACACACAAAATTTGGTTAATTAAATTTTTTTTCATGAATATGACACTGCCACAAAATAATTCACAGGACTGCTACCCGGTAGCTCTTTGCAGGCAGATTCAAAACTGTAACATGTGGAGGCATGAAGGTCCTTCACTATAGCTTTTTAGAAAATCTATTACAGCGATATTCTTGTTAACTACTAGAATAATTGGTGCAGAGCTCTTCCAGGGATAAATGATTCAGCGTAAGGAGACGATTCTCTCAAACCCGAAAAAATCCCACATTCCCGGAATTTTTCCGAGTACAGGTATTGGGAAAATTTCTTGGAATTTTCTGAAAATTATGCATTATTTAATCCTCAGAATTTGCTCACAGACCCAGAAGAAAAAAATTTGAAGACAGTTTTCAGGATTTTTCTTGGAAATTTCCAGAATATGTGCCTGATTTTCAACCTCAAACTCATTCACAGGGCAGAAATTGAGAGAATTTTTCTGGAAAATTCTGGGCAAATTTCAATTCCGGGGAATTGACAGTTCCGGCTAATATGGATTCCAGTTAACGGAGATATTACTTCTTATAATATCAGAGCAGGATAGGACTCGGAGCAACGGATTTAAATTGGATAAGTTTAGGGAGATAGGGAGGAACTGGTTCACAAATAGGGTGGTGGACGAGTGGAACAAGCTTAGCAACTTTGTAGTAAGTGCTGGAATGCTGGAAAGTTTCAAAAGGAGGCTGGATAGATTCATGGATGATAGAGTGTGGTAGTAACTCTCGACAGGAGCTGCACAGGCCAGCCGGCCTATTGCAGACTCCTTATTTTCTTATGTTCTTATGTTCATCTGATTGTTTCAATACAATAATGTACATTTACAAGTTGTCAATAGATTTTTCAAATTTGATATAACTTTATGATATACAATAACATTTCATTATAAAACAGCAGCCAGAAAAATAATATTAGCCCACCACGTGACTGCTGATACATATGTAAGGAATACAGTATTATGCAGTATGTACACTTGGCATCAGAATTTGAGAACCTCTCACTAAAATCTGGGATCACCATACAACAGATCAAAGATGAATGCCTATAATAGTACAACTACTTGTTCTCTAAAGGTGAAGTTGACACAAGTAACCTTGGCAACCAGTCTCTTACCTAACAGAAGGTCCCACAGGCATGACAAACTATTAGGGACACCATATGTCAAATTTTGGTACACAAAGAGGCAGTGTGGCTGGCACTGACTCAACTGCCTTAGCTCTAAAGTTAGGTACTGGTATATATTCATCTACACCTGGGTGGACCTGGAGTGCTCAAGAATCAAACTCCTCAGACAAGACATGAGCACTGTACCTTCTCAGTTGCCTCACCCCAATAATTAATCTCTTACCTAAAAATACTCAAACTACACTGCTTGTTCCAGAACACATGTTCTCTATCACAGCAGAACACATCTACTATGCAAGTTAAAATGACTGAATGACAATGAATGAAGGGAAAATACCTGTATCTGTATGCACATTTGTTCTTGATTCAGACTACCCTGGATTAAGTAATAAAAAGCTTAAATTAATGAAAAATTAATTTCCTAAATCTCACATGTTTCCTACAGCTTAGTAAACACTAATGAAAGAGATAATTAACAGAGCAATATGGCAGAAATAAAGGGAAGCCACACTATGAAGAAATGTATAACTACCTTTCCTTATTTCTATCTACAGCTATAAATAGTGAGTTTTGTAGGTCAATATATGTAAAGTTACCATATCAAGCAGTCCACCAAATCTTGAATGCCTTTAAAATGCTTATCCTTAATTTCATCCCTTACAAGTCGAGTGAGGACTTCAAGAGATTTATCAAGGTCGCCTAAAACTCTGAAAGAAAAATATAAACAAAAGCATTAGGAGAAATCTTAACTTAATTATAACACAAAAAAACTCAATTACGTACAGTACAGTATTAATGTTAAGTAGCGTATATCTGCCCATGGCCTTTACTTAGTGTTTACATATTTAGGTGCATTATGGTAAATAGATTTCTGCAACTACATTTTCACACATATAGCATGTCCAACTCAATAGTTATCTGCATAACAATGCTGCAGGAAAAGCAATGAATGTGCATTACCTGTACAGTTTTGCTAAAACAGAAAACTGTTGATGAGTTTCCAACCAACGTATACACTCAGGCAAGTTGCACACAATGTCTCCACAGTCAAGGAATAGTAACAAATTTGCAGACTTTTTCTCAGCATGCAACTTGATAATAGCAGTGTCTACTTCCTGGAATTAAGGAATAAATCTATTTAACAACAAACACAGGTTAGATCAAGATGTCATGTACAATTACAAAACTCTGATTCTGTGTAGAGAAGTTACTACCTCTCTCATTTTATCATCATCTACTGTTATACAATCCAATATAGATCTAAACACCCAAGCATAAAACATGCGTCCATAATATAATCGAGTGACAGTTCAGAATTCCAAACTTTTTCATAATTTTTCATTATTACAGTATACAGTAATACACTTATCAATCAACACTCATGCCTTAGGAAAAACAAGTCAATGGTCATAGATTCTGTACATAATCTAAAGATTCCAACTTACTCCTGTGGCTCTATAGCCCATTAAGATCTGCTGCCACTCTATCACACCTCTTCACTGCATTTGACCTTGCATCACCTATAACCGCAGTACAGTATTGCAGGTTTTTGCCGCATCTTATATGATATGTTCCTTTTTCTCTTCCTTGGGGCCTTCTAACCTAAAATTTCCCCTCATGTACTATTTTAGGTATTTTTCATCTATTTATGACTTGCCCGACCTACTACAAGCAGTGACACTTGATTACTGCTGCTATTATTGGTTGTCAGGCAATTTACCTCATCTTTACATTAAGGTATATGTCTCCTCCTTCATATGTTAATACAGTATTATGGTTGAAAGCTAGTCACTCGATTCTTGTTTTTCAATTCACTATCTATAATTCACAGCCATTTAGCATATAATCTCATCAGTTTTGGGACTTGAGCTATGACCCAGTATTTCATTATGGGTGGTTAACGAATGAAGCATTTATTAGTAACTAATTCTTTCCAGGACTTCAGCCTTGATTTAATTTTTATGGGTGAATGCTGATCTAAAGGTGTCTGAATATTTCTTGTACAGTCACCCACGAAAGTTCTGTTGTCTCTCCTCCTGATGCACTATTCTGTCCATAAATGTTTTGGATTCACAAATCTGAATCTCAGGGTTTGTGGTTCAAGAGGAGAGGTGACAGGACTTCAGTGGGTGACTGTACAGTTGGGGTCAAAAGTTTGCTCCTGCCCAAAATGAAGCAGTATCAACCCCAAGTGAGATGAAACAGTCAGGGTTAGTCAGTTTGGAGACTTATTTCCGTGGCTGAGTCTCACCGCAGGGAGCAAATTTTTGTCCCTGACTACAGTACATTCAATGTTCATTCCCAAATGTTGATATGCTATTGCTCCATTCTACCTCCTTGAACACTGTCCTCTCTTCACTCATTGTCTACCCTATAATGCATGTTATTTCTTGGAAGGGTGGAAGGAAGTTAGAATTTTTTTTAACAAGTTCTGGGGTTAAACTTAAAACCCTCGTATCTCTGATTTATTGCACATAATACTTTTACCGGAGACAGAGTAAACAAAAGGAAGACAGATGTGTTCCCTGCCAGCCACAAAACTTTGGTGTGTACCCTAGGCAAACACTAAGTTAATGTGCTGCATATCTACTAGGTGGCTCCAAGCAAATGACTGATAACCTTGATAGGCAAGAGCTGGGACAGGTACACTCTCATGTTCTACATAAAGTTGTAGGCAAATATATGACCAGAGCACAGCAGGGTCCATGAATAAAAGGGATATCATGAAGTTATTGACAGGGAGACACTATATACTTTGGGTCCTCGTTGTAGAATAGGAACACCATAGCAGAACACAGCTATCATAGCAGTAGGAATAAATGAATGATAATTGAAGAATGCGAGTCTGTGTTTGTTCTTGCCTCCAGCCACTTATAATATTGTAAAAAGTGTATTACAAGAATGAAAGAAATTAACTATATATTTTTCTTAAACAAAATAGAATATGGGCACTCTTTAGGCATTAATACTTTCTCACCATTCTGTATGTGATGGGTTCTCCTAAGGTTCGAAGATGCAGGAGGTAATTTGAGAGGAATGATTTAGCTTCTTCAATCTTGGTCTGGTCACCATGCATGGCTTGAGCTATATCAGCAAGATGGTGCAAGGGTGGTTGAGCTCGCATGAACTCAACAGAATCTGGCATGAGACCCGGGTACAGGCTGATCACCTGTAAACATTAAAAAAATAAATTACTAACTAAGAGGGGGATGATATCAATAAAATTGCACAAAATATGTTTTAAGCACAAGTATTTTGCATCTGTATCTGGATTTCTCAAACATGAACGAGTACATGAGTGCATTAGGAACAGAGCCCAATACAGTACTAATAATGTAGTTAGGTTGGGTTACTACACAAACATTACAAGTGCATCATATGGTACACATTTCCTTGAAACCTTACCTCTCTTACATCCACGGAGCCCCTCAGGAAATATTCTTGCGCTTGATCATAAACTCCATGAGCAAGCTTAATAAAACCTGCCTTTTGAAGTAGTGTACGGAACAACTGGTGGTACTGTTCTTGGCTCATCCCCACAGCTCCACTGTGTTCTGCCAGTTCCACAGCCTCCTCCACTCTTTCACTATCCATTAAGGTCTGGTGGAGAAACAATTTTAGATTCGAAAAACAATTGTAAAGGTTGGAGCCTAATTGGACTGAAGCTCATTTGATTAGTAACCCTGTCAATCTATATCTTTTAACATCTAATTCCTTTAGGCAATAACTTACATTGTAATCATTATTCCCTTCAGCAGCTCCCCATGAGAGGATGGCAAACTATATTTGTTCTATCAAAATTCCCTTTAGCAGCTCCTGTTGAGAAGGCATGCAAAATGATCTGACAAACTATACTATTTTTCTATCTACTGGTACCTGTATTCCCTCTTGCAGCTCACAGTGAGGGAATGGTCTGATTTTAAGTCTTTCTCACATGCTACAGCCACTAACCACCTCAGCATTTTTAAGCACCAAAGGATTGCAAAAGGTGAAGAGTAGGAAGAGAAGAGTTGGACAGTCGAAGGAAAGAAGCTGTAGGAAATTGGATGATACACGATGTCTTAAACTAACCTGAACTTGCATAGTCCAAGGCTGAGGCATGAGACAGGACACACACGAGTTAGCTGCCACATAAAGTTGACCATCAAAATTTCCCACTAATTCACCCCCAGAAAAGCTGAGAGTTTGTTTATGCTGCTGATCAATCAAGCTGAAAGAAACATATTTCAACTTTTCACCTACTGTATATTAATATTCAATCATCACAAACTACAACAACTATTTACACATTCATTGGGTGTACAATATTTTTTGTCAAAAACAAATGAGATTAAATGAAGGGAATAAATAAAAATTCATATACAAACTAAAATTAGTTACGTAATTTTTTTTTAAGATATATGACGCACAATATTTAAAATAAGCTGATACATAAGGTATAATGATCAAAACCTTTATCCGTTCATTTCTTAAAAGAACCATTTTCACATACAAATGTCAAAATTTCTGCTATTTATTGATCAATTAAAAATCAACAGTAATTGTATACCCTAAAGAAATGTGCTAAAAAACATGATCTACTTTTATAAGATGTAGAGGAGGGGGGAAGGCTTGAAGATGATTGAAATCCTGCATACTTATTATGACTGCCATATGAAAACAATACCAAAACCTCTCCTTATACCATCCAAATGCTAATTGGTGGGGTTAGGTTATATAAATATTAGGGTTAGTCAGGTCAGGTTAGGTTAGGTTAGGTTAGGTTAGGTTAGTCAGGTTAGGTTAGTATTAGGGTGAGTATTAAGTTTTCTACTCCTTGGACAAATTACAAGAAAGCTGTCACTAAAATGTAGACAATTCAGAAACTTGCCCCTTTACAAATACTAAGTCAAATATTAGATTAGAGGAAGTGAAAATTGTTACAATCAACAACTGTCCCATTCTAAATTAGTTCCCTACTCTCTTGGATGCATTTCTAATGGATTTTAGATAAATTAATACTTTGTACAAATTATTTCATCAATTCTACATCCTTGAGCGAACAAATTACAAAATCAGAATGCTCCGAGGAGAAATTCAAATGAACTACGTGCAATACAGCATGACCTTAAAATTTGCGGGGCTTAGGTTCTCAAAATGGCCGCAAATAGACAAATCCACGAATAACATTTGCTGACCGGGGGAGTTGTTACATTTTTACTCATGTACAAAGAAATGTATGTGTTTGTCCTTAGGACAATTATTTCTTTTACCTGCATTGTATATACAGTATGTGTGTGTGTGTGCATGTGTAGACACACATAAAACACATACAAATACAGGGTAAATAATAATGGGAAAATCCTCCCACAAATAATCGGAAACAAGACATCAAAATGTATTAAATAGTATGTGAGTTGACTTGAGGGTAACCTCACATTTTTAATACATTTTTTGTCTTGTTTCTGATTATTTGTGGGAGGATTTTCCCATTATTATTTATTTATATGAGGTTTGTCTGTGCTTATGTGTGTGTGTGTCTACACACACACATACAGTATACAATACAGGTAAAAGAAATTACTGTCTCTAGAACGAATGGCTCCCTGTCACAGCCGCAAAAATGCCAGCAAGCTTAAAACTACCCTTAAGACATTCTTGGGTACATCCAGGGTGTCATCCGCAAATTAAAAATCCGCAAATTGTCAGGGTATGCTGTATTTATTTTACTGTAATTGTGAATATCTTGAAATCGCTCTGAACAACAGAGGCAGATCTCCATAAGGGAGGAACTAAGTGACACCTCTCCTATATAAAACCAAAGGTGAAATAAGCAAAATTAAAGTCTGCATCAACTTGTCTACAAATCTTTATGTGTTTAATGCAAGGAAGATTATCCAATTGTTCAAACTTTTAATAATATATCACAAGTTATGTCTGAAGTCCCATATTAGCCATATGGCTACTTCACCACTGATTGAAGCACAGAAATGGAATCTAAGAATCTACAGTATGAAGCACTAATTGTACATAATGAACATTGAATCACCATCTACTCTTAGGAGGGACAATGACTCACCTATAAACTCTTATAAACTGATTGGTTATTGTTATAATATATGGATGATAGTAAGATACAGCAGATATCCCCTCTGTCCACTGGATTGGTGGTCGCTCAGAAATACCTGCAGCTGTCACAAACATTCCCAGGTTGCCTGGCCCTGCAAGCAGGAACTCCTCCTAAAACACACAAGAAACAACAGAATAATATTAGCCATGTACGTACAGTATGTGAAATTCACAAGATTTCAGACAACTCCATTTTAATGCAAAGCAATCTGTAGATTTTATTCAATAATTTAAAGCTTAAGAGTCAAGAAGTGAACAGAGAATAAGTACCTTGGCTATTCTCTTGACATGAGGGTAAGTTGAAGCAGCATCATAAGGGAAGAGATCTTGACTGGACCCTGATTCCACATTAAACACACAATAATGGCCTTGTCCAGCAACACATACATAGTTCCCATCCATTGCAATATTGATTGGCTCTGGTGTTGATAATTCCTTAAGAAAGGAGACTCTGTCTTCATGCAAGGAACAGATCTGGATACATCTTCTTTTGCCCACACATAACTGTAATCATATACTTATGAGTTTTATTGAGAGAAATTAAAATTTTCACAAACCTTTTACAATGTCATTACCAATTTATATGTTATGCTTTACATAATCAAATACTTCCACTCTGTCCAAATAAAATTATTTATACTTACTCATAAGCCATTACCAGTCACCTGGCATGCACCATGAGACAGTGACTTACCTGAACAGTGAAGGGGTCCAATGTGTTAGGATTTTCATTAACACAAAACACAGAGACATTCTTCATTTTTGGGCCTGAACCAATGGTGTTAAGAACATCAGCATCAAGAAGGTACAGATTACCATCACTTAGCACCATCAAGCGTCCAAGAGCAGAGGCTGTTTTCAGTTGTACCACAGTCTTTTTCTAAAGTGGAAAAAGATCCATAGGTTTAAATAAATGATAAAACTCCACTTCCATTCAACAGCATGGCCCACACAAAGCACACCACCAAATCACACATCTGTGTCGAGTCCTAAATCACTACACCTTTATCAGCTTTGTCTCACACTCTTTCTTTCTACATCTTCTCAACCATCCCCCTCAAAAACTGTATACATATACTGTACTGTACTGTACTCTTTTAAGTGGCATTCATTTCACACATCCTTCCTGTCTTAAGTTCTGCCCTTTTCTGACATTTCGTTATTATGTACAGTATTTCTTTAAAGTTCACTGGGGTTAGGTAAAATGGACACTGTGAGAAAGCAAAATCCACGAGTTCTTCATGCCATCCCAGGAGAGTGCAAAATACATATATAAATACAGGTAGCAATATGCACATGTATAACAACATTATGAATAAATAAGACAATATAATAAATATGAAATAACATAAATAAATAAACATGAAATAACACTGCATGGACATTAGGTCCATACAGTGATAGTTAGATGTGGTAGTGACAATACAAAGAAACATGATAACATATAGCCAGTGACTTGGCTTTGCCAGTACAGTTGGTTATTAAATCTGCAAAAATCTTTTTGCCTCAGATTTATTTTAGTTATTTTCCATGGCAATCCACAAGTTTATGAGGGACGTAAGCTTTAAAACCATGAGTTTTAAGGGAATACTGTACTCTACCTGCTCTCAGAACTCCCTAGTCACCTCCAGTGCAATAGTCGGTGATAAATGTTTTCCTAGCATTTAAGAAAGTGTTAACCATTGTTTCCATCATATTTCTTTTGAGCCTCTTACATTCCCTTTGCCCTAGTGCAAACTTTCCTTGTGTAATTCTACATATTCTTCCTCAATGAAGTATACCATGGGTGGCATAACCAAAACAAACTAGTGGTGAATTCATGCATGTCAGTTCACCACTAAAGGGTAGAAGTTCCATGATACAAAAAAAGTGTGTACAGTACAGTGTGTGTGTGTGCATGTGTGTGTGTGTGTGTGTGTGTGTGTGTGTGTGTGTGTGTGTGTGTGCATGTACTTTATTTGTGTGTGTGTGTACTTTATTTGTGTGTGACATGAGTGTGTTCTTGAATTCAGCCACTGAGCTTGATAATGGGAAAAGGGTAAAAAATAATAACAATATACACAAACTGTATTATGTACCTGTACTTAATCCACTTTGCATCCTTCTCATATTTCATCTTCTGAATCAATTTTGTATTTCTCAGATATTTCACGCTCTTAACGTGTTAAAATAAAAATTTTATGATTGGCAAAATATCCAAGTACCATACAGCAACATCTTTTACAATAAACATGTTTAAAAAATTGACAAGTTATATGAAGAAATTAATTTCAGATATGCATTACTAAAATTTATTTAAAAATAATATACTTTTCTTAAAATCTAGTAAAGTACAGTCACCAACAAAGGCTTAAATCTAATGATGGTGGAGGCAGTTTATGTGAACATTTGACACCATCCTGGTGTTGACCAACAATATGTAAGTTCATGTTTCACCGTACTAATTCTCTGTACGGCCCATCACTGATTGATAAAATACGTTAGTCATCAGCATGTGTCATAGGAATGTACCTGGACACCATTAATAGTAATGGCTTGCAAGAGCTTTGGGATGACAGCAATTTCAATGGCCGCAGCAAAAAATTTAACAATGGCACTTCGTGAACACTTACTGTCCCAAGGTTCTTTTGGCTTATCTTATTGGTAGAGTAAAATATCTTGCCGGTGCCATCATGCGTCCGTTCCTCAACAAGGTAATGAACCACAATACTGAAAAAGCAAAAGTGAAGAACTGTAAAACATTTGATCCCCTCCAATGTTAGATGGTGGTTGTTTCTGCTCTAAACACACTGCCACATGTAATAAATGGGATCCTAATGTGTCCTAACACTGAAGGTGTGAGGTTCAAGGGAAGGGATATGTGCCATTAAATCTCAGTTCATAAATTTTACAAATCCAAGTGTTTTAAAGAGGAAAATTTATAGCCTATGTGAGTTGAACTAAAATAATGCCCAAAGTAAGAGTAACTAGTTTTATACAGTAATTTAATTAAGATTACTAGCAAAGACCAACTAGAATTTACATACAGTATAACCTTTATGAGAACAGCTAACATTACAACCTACTCAGTGAGACTAACTAGCATTGTAAGTTAATTGATATCAACTAGCCTATGCAAGATACAGTTGAATTCTCACCTTTCATCTGATCCCAGGTACAGGTCATTTCCACTAGCTTCAAAACAATCAATCTGAAATAGAATTACAAAATAAGTTAAAAAAGAAATCAATTTATCAGTGAATTATCATAACAATAACCAACATACTGAAGTACAAATGAATTTTGTGATACATATACAGGTGTAATATACTTCTAACTTAGGAAAGGTAGATTAGGTAGGTTTGGTTGGTACTTCTTATCTTATGACAAATCGTATAAAATGTAATGTAAACAAGTCAACAAGGTGTCACAAGGGAGCTAGCGTACTAACGTAGATTCATGTTCAAGATGAAAACAATAACTGAAAAAGAAAATTGGGGAAATTATAAACTCCACCTTTTTGGTGATATTATTCTTGACTAAAAGAGAGAAGATTTCCTTCTATACAAATATTTCTTAAAGTTGCTGGTTATCACAACTCGGTTTTCTAAGGTATTACACCAAGAAATTTCACAAGGAGATTTGGTAACACGTACCGTACTATAGACTCACGAGCAACTTTAGGATCATTTTCTACTGAAGAAAATGGTACTTCTCCAATATACCCCCACAAAAATTAAGATCATAAGTAATTTTTTCAACTTGAAAATTTGAGAAGGTTATCACCATTGTGTGGTGGTTCTCTTCTGCAGTACAACCAGCACTGATGGGTTAAGGCATGCTCCAGCCCAGCCTAAAATTGCCCAGTCCAGAGTTATTAATGGCAAGTGGGACTGCAGTTTTATTTCGCTATATTGCCTTACTGTCAACAGGAGCGGATACATGGCACTCTCTAAAGCATGCACAGACCATTCAATATATATTTTTACCCAAACCTCAGGAAAAATAAAAGTGGAAAAGTTGCAATTTCTGTATTTGTTTTTAATATTCTAGAGGAAACAAGAATATTCCTTCACAATCACTAACACATTCTATTTCTTTAATCTAGTACTTTTATTAATGCGATCTAAACATATCGTAGAGGGAATAAATCTCGGGGCAATATTGCAGTAACACCAACCACTCAATTGATAGACCTATTTTTTTCTATGATCATTTTCTTATATTACATTAGGTTAGATAAGGTTAGGTTAGATAAGGTTAGGTTAGATAAGGTTAGGTTAGGTAACACATTTTTTTTATCAGAATCTTTGGTTGCTGTAATCTGCAATTTTATCAATCTCGAATATAAGAATAAACTTTAAGTTTCGGTCACCCTAGTATTTAACCTAACCTAACCTAACCTAACCTAACCTAACCTAACTCGATACAAACCTTTAGATCCACTCTGTCCAGAACCGACACCAGGTCAAAGGCCTTGAGGGCCATTATCTGGAGTGTCTCCCTTCTTGGATACTTCTGGATAGTAAATACTGTTATTTGTCAAGACTTCACTTGTAATTAGTTGATAAAAGTAACTTTCACTCAGCTGCTGAACTACTACACAGCTTTGTTTGTTCCCTCAGCTGGTTGACACAACTGGTCGCTTGTGTCACCAATACAGTCTGAGTTTGTTTACACTAACACACTCACTCTGTCCTACTACACTTATCACATACACTCTACCTCATTGTTAACTGTGTTTTTTTTCCATTCTAATTTACAAATAAATTAATTATACAACGCTAAACATTACTGAACCTTCCGTTAATTTTGTAGATCAAATCATATCTAGTTTTAATATGAATGAATAAAGTTATTTAAGATACGCCTCCATCTGTAGCTAGTTTATCTAGCTAAAAAATGGAGGCGTATCTTAAATAACTTTATTTACTTTTTACTTTTATCCTCTTCACCACTGATCGGCTCGCTAGCCGCCCGGGCGATCGGTCACGTCTCTGTTACACACTGTTGGCAAGTACTGGGCATGCACCGGCTCCTGAATGTACCTGAACCTGCTCCAGTGTTGGTCAAGTCTTCTCTTGAAAGAGCTCACACTCGGTGCCGTCACAACACTCTCTGGTAGATTGTTCCAAGAGTTTACAACCCTCACTTAGAAAAAGTTTGCCCTCACAGTTTTCTGGACTTGCGGCTTCTTCAATCTTGAGCTGTGACCCCTTGTGGGGCGAGCGTCCGCCAGCTCCAATAAGGACACTCTGCTGAGTAGTGTCCCCTGAGATGCTTATACACCTCAATTAGGTCCCCCCTTACCCATCTGTAGCATAAACTAGGCAAGTTCAGGCTCTCCAATCTCTCAGGGTAGCTGAGGTGCCGAAGGGCAGGCACCAATCTGGTGACCCTCCTTTGAACATTTTCAACCAACTGACAGTCCCTAGCATATCTCGGGGACCAGACGGGTGACAGTACTCCAGATGGGGAAGCACTTCACTCTTGAAGATCGGTACGAGGGACGGACCGTCTAGATTTCTGAACGACCTTCTTATAAGACCCAATAAATTATTTGCCTGATTTACCTTCTTATCGCAATGGCCCGAGAACTTCAGCTCATTGTCAACATACACACCTAGGTCCTTCTCACATTCAGTCTCAAATAGTGCAGTTTCTTCATCCCGTTGGGCCATATGATACTCCTCCTTACCGTTGGTACGCCCCAGGTGCATCCTCTTACAACGTCTACAGTCTTTGGTTTATAGATTCCATTTTCTAAAAATTTTTCTAAATAATCATAAGCAAAATGTGCAGGAAAATCATCAGTCAGATTTCGTATACCACACAAAAACAATGCATCAGACCTAGAACCAGACTGCACCTAGCCAGTCCAAGCCCAGTACTTGCCAACAGTACGTAGCAGAGACGTAACCAACAGCCAGACTGCCCAAGCGGCTAACGAGCCGATTAGTGGCGAAGAGGGTAAAAGTAAAAGTACAAAGTAACCAGCCTACTCCTAGAACCAGCCTGCTCCCAGAACCAGCCTACTCTTAGAACCAGCCTGCTCCTAAACCCACACTGCTTCTAGAACAGCCTATTTATAGAACCAGCCTCCTCAAAGAACCAGACTGCACCAAGAACAAGACTGCTCCTAGAAACAGCCTGCTCCTAGGGCCATATACAAACTCTATTTGTACAAACTTGTGTTATTATGATTATTGGTGAACAAGTTGATTCTACATACTTCAAGATGACAATTGGAGAAGAACTATCTTAACACAGCCCCGTATGTCATTACATTAGTCTAGGGATAACCCATTACAGACAGCTGTCTCTCTTCATCTGTTGACTGTCATTCATTACTA